AGCGTTAACTCCATGTATATTGTATATATACAGTGCAGTAGGATGCTTGGGAGTTGCTGTGTGGTGAGGAGCTTCAGGTGGAGGTGTTGTCGGCTTGAGAGCGTTGAGTTGAATGACCTTCCGGTCGGTCGGTGATACGGAGAGAAGAGAGCATTAGCTCTGAGGGTGCAAGAAGGGTACAGTACAAGGTAAAGTTTAAAAGTGGGAAATAGAGGAGGTTAACAGCAGGTGGGCTATCCACCTTGCAAAGACGGGGTTTTTGTCTTCCGTCAACAGTGCTGCATTAGAGGACTCATGCGGTTAGGGAAGGCCGGTCTCAGCCAAGCTAAGCTAAGTTGTTCTATTTGATGTTTCCTTGGGGCACATTATGATAGGGAGGGGGCAGTCCTTCCGGGGGATATTTATACAACCCTGTTTACTCAGGATCAGAGGTGTGAGATGACAGCTGCTGCTGATTGGCTGGACGAGGACGGCAGGTGGCCAATCAGTGAGCGATTCAGGGGCAAAGGCTGTGGTATGGAACTCGCTGCTGATTGGCTGAAGCGGGGAGGCAGAGAATTTGTAGGGAGGGTAAGCTACTACAATACTCCCCCTCCCCTCCAGGTGCTGCAGGAAGCTTGTTGTGGACAGGATCATATCCCACGTGCGAGGCATAGCGAGCAGGGGTGTGAACCACTCGGCCGCTACAAGTGACAACTCCTTCGAATGACACATGATTTGTAGGAGAAACAGGGGAAGAAGCATTGGGAGAAGGAGGGTTGTAGATAAGAGAAGGTTGGGTGGCGGGAGGAACAGGCGGGGAATGCGGTGCTTCTCTTGCGGCAGGTGCAAAGTCCTCGGGGGCACTGGGTGGGATATTTGGGTCCACAGGGCTGAATGCAGGATCCTCATCAGGAGCAGTAGTAGTAGGTACCTCAGGATGAAAAGAGGGCACCTAGAAATGTTGTGGACGAGGTGGTGCTGGAAGCAGCAACAGTGGACAGACTGGTGAAGGGAGTGTAGGCGTGGTTTGCTGGAGGTAATGTTGGGCTGGGGCACCATCGGGTAAGGTGGCCAGCTTCACTCGATCGATGCTGATGGTGTTATGTCTGCATTTGCTATTGATCGTCAGGAACTTGGCTGACCATGCAAGCACTGGGAAGGGTCTGTCGTAGGGGCGTTGAAGTGGGTTGTAGTGAGCATTGCGCCTGACAAAAACATACTCAGCGTTGAGTAGTGCAGGAGGGATGTGTTCAGGGCAATGGGAAGGCTAGCGTGGGGCAGTGGCCTTGAATGCAGAAACTGACTGTTGTAGTGTTTGCAGTAGGTCGTGACCGACAGCAGGAGTGGAGTGGGCAAGGTCAGGATTAAGTGAGAAGTTCCCAGGTAGGCGAAGGGGTTCGCCTTGGGTGAGATCCGCTGGGCTGCAGTCCATGTCCTCTTTGTGTGATGCGCGGATGCCAAGGAGCACTAAGGGTAGAGCATCCGTCCAGCTGTAGGGGTCGTGCTGTGCTTTGATGGCGTCCTTCAGCTGACAATGAAACCGCTCTACCATGCCATTGGAGAGAGAGTGATAAGCAGTAGTGCAGTGCCTGGTAGTGCCGAGGAATTGCAGGAGACTGTGCCAGAGTTGTGACTCAAACTGAACTTCTCGGTCAATGATGACAGTCGTGGGAGGACCGAAACGGGAAAGCCAACCAGACAGGAAAGAGCGGACTGCTGACTCTGCTCTAGCATCAGGCATGGGAATGGCTTCCATCCACTTCGTGAAACAGTCAATGCAGGTGAAAATGTACGTGTTGTCGCAGGATGCTGGAAGAGGTCCCACGATGTCGAGGTGCACTACCTGGAAGCTTCCTATGGGTACAGGAAAGGTTTCTAAGGGAGCTGATGTGTGTCGATGTACCTTAGAGGACTGGCAGGCCAGGCACTAGGCAGCCCATTTCTGAGTGTCAGCCTTGATGCCAGGCCAGACATGTTGCATGAGAAGGCGCTGGGAGGCCTGTACACCTGGGTGGCTGAGACCATGGATGCGGTCGAAGATAGCGTAGTGGTGGATGCGAGGCATGAATGGTCTAGGCTGTCCGCAGGACATGTCGCACCACAACTTGATGTTCGTGCCGGGAACGGGGAGTTTTTGGAAGGTGAGATCTGAGGGAGATGTCTTGTATGCTGCAAGGTCTTTGTTGTTTTCTTGAGCCACGGCGAGCTGTCTGTAATCCATGGGTGGAGATGAGGGAAGAATGCTGGATATACAACGAGAAAGAGTGTCGGCGATCTCGTTGTGGCTGCCCTTGATGTGTTGGATGTCGCTGGTGAACTCCGAGATGTAAGCCAATTGGCGAAGAACACGAAGTGTATGTGTCTCAGAGGCTGAAGCGAAGGCGTGGACGAGGGGCTTGTTATCAGTGAAGATGGTGAACTGTAGAACCCTGAGGAAGTGCTGGAAATGCTCGATCGAAGGTGCTGTACTTGAGATGAGGTGGTTGAAGCCGCTCTGAGAAGAAGGCAATGGGCATGAGAGTTCCGTTAATCTCCCGTTGTAAAACGGTGCCCACGGCAGTACAGGAAGCATCTGTTGTGAGAGTGGTCCGGGCGTTGGGAACAGGGTGAGACAGCAGGGTAAGGCGTGTAATGTGCTGCTCGATATTGTTGAATGCTGCAAAAGCCTCTCGAGTCCATGTGAGAGGCTTGTGAGATGTCTTGGGGAGTCCCTTGAGGAGTTCGTGGAGAGGAGCAAAGATATTAGCAGCCTGGACAATGAAGCTGTGAGAGTAATTGACTAAACCCAGGAATTCTCAGAGCTTCTTCACTGTCTCAGGTTAGGGGAACTCCTTGATGGCAGTTACCTTCTGTGGTAGGGGTTGGATGCCGTTCGACAAGACTCTGTGACCGAGGAAGTCAATGGAGGAGACTCTGAAGACACACTTGGCGGGATGAACTTTCATGTTGTTGTTCTGCAGGCGTTGGAAAAGAAGCCGTAGGTGGTGAAGGTGCTTGGCAGGCGTCAGAGATATCGAGGAGAATGTCGTCTATACAGACAATGACAAAGTTGAGGTCACGAAGAATGTGGTCCATGTACCTCTGGAAGGTCTGAGCTGCATTGCGTAATCCAAAAGTCATGAAGGCATACTCGAAGAGACCGAACGGAGTGGTGATGGCAGTCTTCTGGATATCTGCAGGTGCCACTGAAATCTGATGGAAGGCACGCTCCAAGTCGATCTTCGAGAAGATGGTCATGCCGTGAAGTTTGTGATGGAAGTCCTGTACACGCGGGATAGGGTACCTGTCAGGTTTGGTGGCGAGGTTAAAGGCTCTGCAGTTGCATAACACACAACATATTCATTTCATATCTAACTTAAGACATAAAATCGTATTGTTTCAGTGATGTGAGGTAGTTCCAGGCTCCTGGGTGCTTGGGGGAGTGGAGGTGACGTGTGAGTCAGAGCTGGCCTTATCCCATATTTATGCCTCCCATGTTCACTCTCTCCTTGACACACACACACTAGCATACCACACAACATATTCATTTCATATCTAACTTACAAATAAAATCATATTGGTTTAGTGACGTGAGGTGTGTGAAAAGGGGACTAATGACAACTGTCCCGAGTGGAGTGTGGGAGTGTGTTGACGCACATTTAAGACTATAGGTGTTGCCATAATCATGTTATTTTTTGAACAAGTGTTTATGTAAATAATTTGTCATATTTTCTTGAGAAGTAATATACAGCCACTCCTCGACTTACAACCTACTTGACTTACAAATACAAAATTATGCACAGTGTATTTGACATTTTAAATATTGTAAATAAGTTTACTGTATTTCAAGGGTCATTAATTAACACTAATTACATGAACTTAAAAATTTTGAAACCTGATCTTTAACAAACATCGTAATAAGTAGCTTTTTATGAAATTTGATCCAAATCTAGGACCCAACCTTCTGTGGGGGCAAATGCTGTCTATCTGGAAAGTGAAAACTAATATGTCTACAATATGGTAAAGTTAGTCTATATTCTTTAGAAAATGTATATAAAGTCGATTTAAACTTAGGAATGCAGCATAATTGAGGTTTAGATTATTCTAAATTTAGTAATCACCCCATTAGTTGGAATAATTGGTGAAGAGCATTCCAGATATTGAGATCAATTTTCTTATCCCCAGAATTTTTCCAGGCACTGGTGAATGTTTCCACATCCTAAACTAAGTATGTTGCATGGAGCACTGCTGCTACAAAGGCAGACAGACACAGAGCTGTATTTATTTTAGGAAAACACTATTGTACATATGCAGTATATTGTAAATAAACAAAACACAGTACAGTCAGTCCTCGACTTACGATAGGGTTAGGGACAGACAACCAGGTCGTAAGTCAAAAATGCGAAAATAATACATAGAAAATCTAAAATGGGTGTCTTTTTCTTCTCAGCACCACGAGAACTCTCATTTTTACGCTTGCCAGCCATTTTAAAGGGAATTACAAATGAAAATTTTGTCAGTACACAGCGCGATCACTAACGTCGGGACTCGAAAATACGTAATTTGGAAAGTATTTTATAAGACTGAAACGGTCGTATGTCTGGGTGGTCGAGGAGTACCTGTATACTGTTATATACTATACTGTACTCACCAGCAGATGCTGTCGCCTTGAGATTGTGATGCAGCCAGGCCATATGATGATGCAGGTAGGACAAATGGTGACGATACAAGATTCCTTACCTTTGTCCTGTACCAGGTGTTACTACATGTATAGTTAGACTGTTAGAGGAATGTTGGTAGTCTGCTGGGGTAGTGCACAGGCTGCAGATGGGAAGTTGACAATGTCCCTTCTGTGTCATCCTGCCACTAATGCACGACCTCCCTACAAGGGTTTTTGATACAGGGTAATTATAATTTCTGATTGGTTTCATAATTTCCAATTAAAAAAATAAAAAATAATAAAATCCCTTTCACATCTTGAAAATTTTCTTGCAATCCTATTTTATTATAAATGTAAGCATAGGGTTAATGAAAATCACTTTATCTTTTGAGACATACTCATATTCTTAATGGAACATGACAATAATTACAAAAGGTTTACAAAAATAAATCAAAGAGCTTTCTTGTGTTATGCGACTAGACAACTGAACAAAGTCTTGTGCTCTGGGATGAGGAATCTAGATTATAACACTAAACAACATTAGTGGAATGAAAACTTGTGGGACGGGTACCATTAAGGCACTTTTATAATTCATGATAATACCATAGAACATATGGTATAATTAAATTGAACAGGTACGAACGGTAACAAAATACACATGGTATATTAAAAGTAATAAAATAATTTTACAAACAAACAAAAACAATACAGTATTTCTTTAAAATTAATAAAGCACAGCTTTACAGAAAATGAAGGAACTAAGTATTTTTCTCTTAGGTATAATAATACCTATACAGTATATATATACAGTACAGTAAAAGAAATTACAACCATAAATAAAAGTCACATATCAGCAGCCATTGACTGCCAATACATATGAAAATGTAAAAAATTTACTTAATGGACAGCATAAAAGTCTTGTTCGTGTTTTGTACCCTTTACAAATGTGTAATTTCTCCCTAGTTATCAAAGCTGATTTGTACAAATGACATCTGCAATTTTAAATAGCATAATTTCAATTTATCTTACTACTTTTTTATCAAACTAGATTAACACTCGCGCACACCACGACTCCTTATCTGCTTAATTTTTTACTCTCTTCCAATTGGCACCGCTCGCGTCACAAATAAAGAAAAAGAAAAATTATGCTTGATGAGTGGGATTTTGGTGAGCCACTCCTCAAACCACTCTCTCTCATGGTAATCTAGAATGTGCTGCATACTTTCCATTTAAATTTAATTTCTCCCATTGTCCCTCTTACACACTTTTGCCCTTCATTGTGCAATAATATTCTGTAAAATTGTTTGTAAAGTATTTATTAAAAAAAAAAAATCTTTTTGTTTACTGTATGTCAATATATTATTAATTCAAACTTGTAACCATTCTTCATGTGTGAACTGCTGGGGATGAATATCTTTATTCTAAAATTGCTTGCAGCCAAATATTACATGCTAAAAAATAAATAAAACAAAAGCTTATTACTTGTATCCACTTTCTGATTTTATCACTGTAATGCTTTAAAATCTCTGCTTTTATTTATTGTATAACACTTACTGTTTTTACTCCTTTTTTTGTAAGGTGAATTACAAGTTGTTCGTGTTGAAAACTATAATGCATAATTTCGCATCATCAAAAATTTTGCTTCTTTCTTCTTTATTTGATTTTCAATATTTTATTGTGAAAGAACAACCAATTTAATGAAGAATGTAGTTGGTTTCATAAGAAAAAATTAAACCATTTGCCAAATATTTGATCTGCAGGAAGAAAAAAACAGAGTGGCTCTCCTGTGCCAAATCACCACTAGCCCCATGGCGGTACGCGAGTGTTAAAATGATCATAAGCTATTCAAACATGTTTTTCAAATACCTGGAGCAAAAAAAAAAAAAAAAAAAAAAAAAGTTTAAGTACAGAGAAAAAGATGGAATATAAAATTTATGTAGACCTTTCACATCCAAGATAAGGTTGAGACAGTTCTCAGTGAAGAATAACAGCAAGAAGATGCTGGGACCTCTGGGGTTCTTGGGTTGGCTTACATCATCTTCCACATCCACGGCCCACTCATCACATAACCTATCCAACATCAAATATATAAATAATCTGCAATTATCCTTTTAAAACAAAGACTTAAATGAATGTAAAAATTTACACAATTTTAAAATAAAAGAACTTTTTCACAAATGGCAGCCACCAAGAAAAATAAACTACGTAGAACACCATGGTAGCCACAGAAAGCTGGTTAATATGCAATAACATTAAAAATTTAGGTTAATATAATATTAATAATAATAATAATACAGTTAACCCTCACTTTACGCGGTCCCACATTCCGCGTTTCCACGTTTACGCGGTGCCCTGCCGGAACCCAGGATGCTCACATTCCGCGGTGCGTGTACCCCTTTACGCGGAGAGCGGCTGGCGAGCCGCGCCATTTTTATATCCAAACCTCCCGCCATCCGCCATGTTGTGTAAGCTGCGCGAACATGGTGCGCACAAGGTCGCCCAGTCATCAAAACATTACCAGTTCTTCACCCGCCACCCACCACAGCCGGCCCAAGTCAGTGATAGTGATAATTATGGTGAGGATATGGATTTATATGGACTTTGGGGAGTTTGACAAAGAGGCCCTGCAAGCCTCTGTGGTGGATAGTGATACAATTGATACAAGTGACACAGGTGAGGGCCAATAATCTGCCCTCTGCCTCGGAACCAACCGCCCATCCCCGTGTGCCCAGCCATTTTTTCTACTAATGTAAGTGTTAAAAAACCTAATATTATTGATATTTCTCTTAATTATTAATTGTGTGTGCATACCATCATAAAGTTAAGATAATATTTTTACTACAACATAGTTGTGTGTCGTCAAAAAGTGGAGTTTGGGGATCGGCCCGGACTCCATTTCAATTAATCCCATATGTTATGTTATTCACTTTACGCGTTTCTCACTTTACGCGGGACCCTCCGGGTTACATTAACCGCGTAAAGTGAGGGTTAACTGTAATAATAATAATAATAATAATAATAATAATAATAATAATAATAATAATAATAATAATAATAAAAATAATAAAAGGCCACATCAAAGAAAATATAAACATACTGACTGTAAATGCTAAAAAGGCAATTATAAATACAGTGGTCCCTCGGTTAACGAACACAATTCGTTCCAGAAGGTCGTTCGTTAACCGAATCCATTGTTTCAATGGGATATTAGGTAATTGGTTCCAGCTCACCGAAAAGTACATAAAAAATGCAGTAAAGTACACTTACTTTGAGGTGTGTATGTAGAAGGTTCCTGGTTGATGATGATGATGATGGGAATTAGAAGTGGGGGTGGAGGAGAAGGGAGAAGAGAAGGAATTGGTATGGAGGAGAAATCACCTTCAGTGGACCCATGCTTGATGCCTCATTTCACCAATAAAATTTTAAGTTCACTAGGTGTAATTCAAGATTATTTTCTTTAAATCAACACTGCCCTATATATTATCAATATGTTAACTAAATTTCAGAATGACCAATAATTTCAATGAAAAATGCAAAAATATTCAAGACATCAACAAAATAGTTGCTCTCTCGATTGTAAACAAAGCCAAACTGAACCTGTACAGAGAGTACTGCATATAATATTATCAATATGTTAAATAAATTTTAAGATGACTAATAATTTTAATATAAAACATTAAAAAATATTAAAAAGCTGAAATTTATTGATACAGGTGTATGGAAACGAATTTAAACTTAGAACAGATTACTCAAATGGCAGACTGGGCCATCAGCTGACCAGCCGATGCTCACAACAAAACGTGATTTTCGTAAGGATTTCGTTAATCAAATTTTTGTTCGTTAACCGAGGCGTTCGTTAACCGAGGGACCACTGTAGTAATACAATATGTCAACATCATCTTTTCAATGATGTGCAGTCCCCCAAAAAAGTATCATTAGATTTTCCGTCACTACAATTTTAAACACTAGACGAAATGTTTGATATGATTCCCAGTGTGTAATATCAGCAACAGCTAGAGATGGGGGTAGGATTGGAGAAGGGAGTCAATCTTGTATGGCATATTAGATCCTTCAATCTAACAAGAAATCCATTCAGCTATATTAATGTATGTATTGTTCGAAAATGTATATATGTACTCATTCATGCTCAAAGGTCACGGATGTAGAACTACCAACAGTTCAGAAACAGGTCGCGTAACATTGCTCGGAGACCCTTGAATCACATTGAACCCATGGCTAACAATTCTTTTTGGGGGGACTGTGCAGTATTAACTAATAAAATGCAACACAGGAAATTGTAAATAAATGTGATCTAGCAGTTTCTCATATGGTTATGAAATCTTTCCATAACTGTTATGTAATTATTATATTAGAGATTAATGAATAAGTTTTTAATCATGACAAGTTAACATAAGTTATTATCATTGACATGATGGAGAAAAAACCTACACACCAAACTGAGACTTGTCAAATTTCCATTCACTTGGATGTTAATCACTAAAAGGGTTTATTTAGAAATAATATATTTACCAGGAGGAGCAGGATAGTATCCTGGAGGCACTGCCATTGGCATATGGTCTTGAGGAGGCAAAGGGGGTGTGTCCTGGGGAGGAAGAGGCATTACTCCATGAGGCCGGTCAGACTCCACAAAAGTGAGCAAGGGGGGAGAAGCCAGCCCACCTGATCCTACATTACCACTCGAGACAACCTGCCAAGAGAGTTATGAACATACTGCCCATTATAAATGGTTCCAACTCAAATATGCTTTTCCTGCAAAGTCACACACACACACACACACACACCCCTACTACTACTACTACTTTGCTATCACTTGGAACTGAAGATGGCAAACATTCAGCCCCCTTCCCCCAACACACACATTACTACTACTACTTTGCTGTCACTCGGAATCGAGTATGATGATCGTCCAGCTATAATACATTGATATAAGTTATTAAGGATGTCACCTTTGTTGGTGAATTCTGAGGTGACTAGAGAGGCTGATATGGGACCAGTAGGCTCACTCACAGATATTGCACATGTAGAGGGGTACATCTAGTGCGGGAGGGGTGGCAGGAACATCTTTCCGGCGTTGGCGCTTTTCTGCCTCAGTATGCAGATGGGCTAACTCAAAAGTACTGTAATGACACCTTCTCGTGTGGTGATCCTCCAAGCATTACGGTGTGGAGTAATCGTCTCTCAAGTGAGGGGGTCAATTTGGTACTTTTTCAGGTTTGTCAAAAGACTAACCTTACACCTTTTCAGTTGTCCGCCAGCGTTACGTTTACTATTCGTTGGGTGACAGTAAAGTAGCTGCTGTGGCAGTCTACTGTCGTCCATGCGGGTAACATGGGCAGTCCAACATAGTTATTCAGAGATAATGGTAGCCTCGATGCTCCTACAGTTTGTGTCAGTGAAAATAGTGGCATTTGTTCTCTTGTCTACCCAGCGAACTTGGAGGATGGAATGTAGATACATTGGAGAAAGTTTTCAAGTGCCTCGAGGTGCCTCCTGTATGTGACCCATGTCTCACTGCCATACAGCAGGGTGGGGAGGACCACTGCTCGATATATGTGCAACTTTGCAGATAATTTCAGCTCCCTACAGCTGAAAACAAGTGTATGAGGTCTGCCAAAGGCTCAAGATGCACATCTGATTCAATGTTGAATCTCTTCACTGATGTCTGCAGTGGTGGACAGGTGGGAGCCAAGATAGCAAAAGTGGGTAACATTAGAAAGGGTAGTACAGTTAAGCTGGACGGATGTGTTTCGGAATTTGGAATTTTTCAGATTTCAGAACGGTAGTAAGGTACATATACTACTGTTTATTATGGTAACACCCTAGCGGGGTCTACGGCAGCACCCCGTAAGCAAACACATTAATATTTCTGCAACGAACCTTATTAATATGAATTAAAAAGTACAGTACATACATACAAAGTACTATATACTGGTAATAGAATTAACAAAACATTAAGTATAAACAAATACAGTACTGTACACATACTGTACAATAATAAATAAAAAACAATAAAATATTTTAACACTTAATTTGAGGTGTGTAACATCTACATTCAAATTATTTGCTTTCTTGCAAGGATTCCAGCAATGCAAGTTATATTCTGCTAATTTAGTCTGTGACATTTTATAAGATAAAAACTTTAAGCCTAAAACTTCCTTCACCCCTGGGAAGGGGGAGGTTATGTGTTGACAGCCAGGCAGAGGGGAGGAGGGAGGGAGGGGGGGAGGTATTGACCAGCCGGCGGGGAGATTACCCAGTGTGTGGTTATCAGTCTTATAGAGGGAGTGTAAGTTTTCTGCTTATAAAATGTCAATGAATTGACTTGATAGAATATAACTTACATTGCTAGAATTCTTGAAAGTTAGTGATTAATTTGAATATAAACATGCTATAATTTGCACTAAACAATTTTTTTTTAATTATTTAGTACATTTGAGTACAGTACAGGTACTATATCTACCGAAAAATACGAGTTGAAAAACTTGTACCCTGTACTTAAATGTACTACACTAAAGGACTAAAATTTTTATCTCTTGTGCAAAACATATGATATCTACAGGTATATTCAAATTATTTGCCATCTTGCAAGGATTCCAGCAATGCAAATTTTATTCTGCTGAGACAAATGATGCCTCACACCTGCGTGGGTCAAGCTTCGGCCGCTTCTGGTCAGGTTCGGCATCACTCTGGGTATGTATGTATGTATGTATGTATGTATGTATGTATATATATATATATGTATATATATATATATATATATATATATATATATATATATATATATATATATATATATATATATATATATATATATAATATATATATATATATATATATATATATATATATATATATATATATATATATATATATATATATATATATAATATATATATATATATATATATATATATATATATATATATATATATATATATATATATATATATATATATATATATATGTATATATATATGTATATATATATGTATATTTCTCGACATTAGTAATCATTAGTAATTAAAGAAACCCAACATAGTCAAGATGTTTGTGTTTTCTCTGGTTCTCCTCTTCATTATGGAACTACGCTTTCCACGTAACAAGTCCATTACTGAACTTAAATACATACTGTATATAATCTCAAGAGTCCACATACAAACAATACCTCATTAGTCATGAATTGAACCCTGGACATCTGCGTGTGAACAAGGGTCGCTACCACCGCCACAAGGTCAACAAAAGCAATCCTAGGCTTTGTTTTGTTTTACACAAAGCCTGTTCATTCGTCTTATTTTTAAGCAACGTGAACCTCCATTGGGGATTGCCCGTGCCAACTATATGGTTGTAGTGGCAATTTACTCTGAAACAGATGGATTTCTTAACACTGCTTATCCCTTCTAATGTTACAATAATTAGGTACATTCCAGCAAAATTGGTTATTTGATCTTAACCATAGGGAATATTAATTTTAAAAACAGGTTGAAATGCATATAAATGTACAATTAATATGACTTGGTACAGTACAGCATGCCCTTAAAATTCGCGGACCTCGATTATTCGCAGATAACACCCTGGATGTACCCAAGAATGTCTAAGGGTAGTTTTAAAGTTGCTGGAATTTTTGTGACCGGGACAGGGAGCCATTCGTTCTTGAGACAATAATTCTTTTACCAGTATTATATATAAATATGTGTGTGTGTGTGTGTGTAGTTGTAAACACACGCACACAAAATGCATACAAATAAATACTAATGGGAAATTCCTCTCACAAATAATAAGAATCAAGACAACTAAATTATATTAAAAATGTGTCTATCCTCAAGTCAACTCTGTGCTTTGTTATTAAAGTTATAACAAAGCACAGAGTTGACTTGAGGGTAGACCCAAACATTGTTAATACATTTTGTTGTCTTGCTTCTGACTATTTGTGAGAGGATTTTCCCATTATTATTTATTTGTGTGTGAGTCTGCACACACACACACACACACATATATATACAATACAGGTAAAAGAAACAACTGCCCTAAGGGAAAACACATAAAGGAAAAATACGCACACGAGTAAAAATGTAACCCCCCCCCCCAGCAAATGTTATTCGCGGCCATTTTGAGAACCCGATCCTCGCGAATTTTCTGGGCATGCTGTACTAGTATATACAAAAAATCTTATGCCATCATAACATACCTGGGAGGGTAAACTCTCAGAGCTTGACTTCCTGGAGCCCATGTGCATAAGTGGTTGTCCTTCATACTGATGGTTTCGTTGGTGGTGTGGCATGTTATTCGACTGATAAGGAGGACCAGAATTGTGGAAAGGTCTCAGAAGCCCCCGCCCTGATGAAGCACCTCCGCCTCGTTGAAATCTTGGGGGTAATGAGCGTTGGCCCCCACCTCCACGACCCATTTCTCCAGTAGGTATGCCCATTGTTGATGGATCTGAACGTAACACTAACCATTTGATCTTTGTTCATATCACAAACTTGTAAATCTAATCTTGACATTCCATATACAATAAATAGGAATGGAGGTTAGTTTTTTTTTCAATTAAATTTCAGTTACAGGCAGTTCCTGATTTATGAAGATCCAGTTTATGAAAAAAGTTTTGTTTTTATGCAGCATCAAAAGTTGTTAGTTTTCATTTTCCATATTGGACCTAGTCTGTTTATCAACATAGTTAAACTAAAACCATCATGCAGTACTGTACTGTATAAAGAGTGGTTAACTAAGGTAAAAATAAAATACTTGTAGCGTTTTAATTATCATTGCTCACAGGATCACTAGGTGAAGCAGTGGCAAGACACTGCTGACTAAAGGTATTTTGACTGTGAGAATGCTAATGTTTTACTCTCTCAGAATTTGATCTGATGTAAGTGGAAAGATTAAATTATTAAATGGATAAGCTTGGCATTTCTTCTTCAAATAAACCTCATCAAAAATAAAATAAAATGAAAGCAAAACATATCAAAATGTATATACATATAGTGTACTGTAGTAGACTTACTGTTGGTGTCACTAAGAAATTAAAACCCTATGTCTTGGCTGGGCCTCACAGTTTCATACTGCATCACAACTAGTACAGTAGAACGTCGATATAACGAGAGGTCGCTTTAAACTAAATTCGCACTAAATTGATGTGTTGTTTCAATGGAATAATTTAGTTTGGTACTTGAGAGAAACACAAAATACAAAAAAGACTGACAGTCTACCCAGATACACCTCAGCCCATCTCCTAGAATAAACAAAACATTGTTTTTGTAGTATTATGTTAAAACAAACACTCATAAATCAACACAGCTAAAACTAAGGGATGTGAAATGGTCTGTTTACTGGCTGGGAAGATGGGGGGGGGAGGGGGGGGAAGGGGGGAGGGGAGGTGAGGTGATATTTTTGACAGTTGATACCAAAGTCTAGTGCTTATTTATTTATCTGTCCTTAAGAGTGACTAAGTTTTTCTCTTATAAAATGTCACTGAACTGACCTGGGAGAATATAATTAACATTGCTGGAATTCTTATAAGATAGTGATTAATTTGAATATAATCATGCTATAGTTTGCACGAGACAAAAATTTTAGTAATCATTTAGTACATTATTCTGAGTACATGTACAGTACAGCTTTAGGACAGTGTAGTATGCCCAGAGAATCATTAGGCGCGAATTTTAAAATATGATGCACCAGATTGACTCGTGCAAAATAGGAAAGATTCGCTTTAAATTAAAACATTGTCCTTAATTGTTGGTGTCGCTTTAAATCAATAATCTTAATTTAAATCACTTTAAATCGACGTTCTACTGTACCACAGTTTCTCACTAAGTTTTAAGCATTACAGTGTCTTGTAAATATAAAATTATTACTGTACTGTAAGCATTTCATGTTTTATTGACTTATAACCAATAAGTACACCGAAAATTTCATTAAAAGCAAGTTTTGTACCATTTTAAGGCATTTTCTCCCCCCCTGTAGGAACATATCTCTGCTTTTGTAAATCAAGGACTGCCTGTATGCAATGAGAATAAAAAGCAGTAACATCTCACAATTTAATCCCACCTTAGATTGCTTTAACTCATATTATATTGATACCGAGTTCACTAATTACAATTTCCCTATCATCCAAATACAGTAACAATATTACATAAATCATCATTATTTTATGGTTCAGAAATGCTATAATTCAGAGCAACATACATTCCCTCATTCTGATGCTTTCTAGCCACCTTGCCACTTGTGTTCTGTCGTGGTGTTTCCCCTCCCTTGGGTAGTGTTACAACTCAAGAATAAACAAATGATACAAGTTCCCATGTCACTTTTGTGAATTTTTCTTTTTATTCTCAAGTGCTTGACTTTGTAATGTTTCGAGCACCAATGAATTCTTAAGAAGTACTAGCGCTTTTGAAAAACAAAACACCAGTTATTATTGTTAATAATACCCCGATATATACATCAACAATACCTAGTTTATTCAAGAGTTGTAAAGTAACTAAATAAATTAACTCAAGTTACATTTTTGGGTATTTACATTTTAAAAAGTACTCAAAATTTTTAGTACTTTTACTCCAATACAAATGAAAAAAAAAATTTACTTGTTACACACAAACAAATAATATATTTGTTAATTAATTATTAACCATAGTAAAAGAGGTCTGTGGGTGGAGAGTATGGTTAGGCTGGAACTGTGAAGGGTACAGTGAGGGGAGACACCACACGGTCACATACCTAGAGGTCTCGTCAGGTGAGGTGACGTCAGATCGAGTCAGGTGGTAGTGGCCACGACAGTGGACTTTCCCTTTGATAGTAACTTGGCATACCCAGGGGATGCAATAGAGCTACTGCGGTCTCTCCTGACATTATGTGACTTATCTCTCAAGCTTAACACCCCACTACCAGCATCTGCTGCTTGTGAGTGTCTGTTTAGTCATGCTGGGCTTATTATTTAGTTACCGATAATTTATTACACCCCAGGGGGCGGCAAGCCTAGTCACAAGACCAGGCAGTCCGACATTAATAAATTACTACTCATGTCTTGCAGGACACGCTATGACTTGTGATATGGAGATAATATTGATATGACTTAAGGACAATGGGAGTTAGCACCCACCAAAGCGTGGGTAGCATCGCGTTAAATCCAAATTATTACGAATAAGTAGGTGGTGACATATGTGGTTAATGACTTGTCCTGTGGTAGAAGGTCGCTGACAGTGGGACAGTCAAGGCAATAGTGTTGAAGGATGTTAGCATTGGGACAGTTACAGAGTTTACAGGAAGAGAAGTGCTGATCATCCCCCGCCTCAGATACTTGCCAGACAGATCTGTATCCTAACCTAATGTGAGCAGAGACAACATTATGTCTGTGGACCATAAGTCCACGTCAATGATACTTGTGTGGGATCAGGAAAAAAGTGATCATAGTGTTGGATGGATATATTTTCAGTAGGTTGCATTTGAGAAGCAGAGCTGTGACCGATTTTTACTGGTTAGGTCAGGTTGAAATTATAGGGGGATGACCAAAACAATAATTTTACCATATTTTCAGCCCGTTCACTATCCCTGCGATGAATTGTAGGGAGAAGAGCGGCTGAATTTATTCTTTTCAGTAGGTCATGTTAGGCTTATATTTAGGCTTAAGAGATCGTGATTGGACAGCCATAATTTCGAGAATCAGTTGTTGATTAATCTCAATAGAAAGACTTGCAAATAAAAATGTGTAATGATGTGTCTTTTATTTATATCTTTAGTTTTTTATAATTTACTCTGGATTTATTTTAATATTTGAGACAAAAATTTTGTTGTTACTTTTTATTTTCAGTACTTGAGTACTTATGAATGAGTTACTTTTTTACTTCTACTTGAGTACATTTAACTTTGGATACTTTTACTTCTACTTGAGAAACATTTTCAGGAAAATTCCGGCTTTGGGAACGGTTTTCCAAGAAAATTTCAATTGCAACTAGAGGAGAATTCCGGGTTTGAGGGATTCCGGCTAACGGAGGTATTACTACTTAAGTAACAAAGTCCAGTACTTTTTACAACTCTGAGTTTACTCAAGTTACTGTGTACATCAACCCAGAATTAAACACCAGCAGCAATTCCAGCCCTATACACCACTCAACACCACATCCAAAATAATATAATTCTCAACTTCTGGCATTTACTCCTGTTCCACCTTACACTGAGTTATATTTAGCTTCTCTCGAGATATATGTTATCCTAAAAATATCAACTTTTAATCACTGAACACATTTTTCAACATTCACCATACCTAAACAAGCAAATACTTTTAAAATGTTCCTGAATTAAATATTTAATAACCTCACCTTGAAAATTGTTGCCCTGATAATTGTTTGAGTATTGATGGTTATTATGATGACTGCCTCGTGGGTGATGGCTATAATGGTGAGGTCCTCCTCGACCTCGTCCTCGGTGATGGTGGTAGTGATGAGGAAATGGTGGGCCCTCCCTGTTGCCATCACGACTATCATGCTGTTTATCATTTTCAGCATTAGTATTTAAATCTTTCTTCAACAATTTTAAGATGATACAGTTTTGTGCAGTGTAACCAAATAACTACTGTACTGTATATATACTAGAATTAGGTACAGGTAAACCTCGATAAATGATGTATCGTTCAGTGATATTTTGCTTTAACGATTGTCATGAATTAAAACCATCTCTCTATATACGATAAAAAAAATCGCTTTAAAGAATTGAATAATGAATTGGTTGGATTGAATATCCATTGGTTGGATTCTTCTTTACCTCTAGTGCACACTATGGTTTGTATATACTGTACAGTACTGAAATTAATAACTGTTTAGCAAGGATTCCAGCAATGCAAATTATATTTTCCTATGTCAAATCAGTGACATTTTATAAGGAAACATTATTTAACCCTATGCACCACGCATCTCTCCTTGCCCTTGTCAGCCAAGGTATTATATACCTGTGCGTCACCATACACCCAACCCGTGCACTACAGTCCCGCCATCACATAGCTCCACGATTATCGGTCAGCATCATTGGTTGTATGCACATTGTACTTATCGTTGGTGTTTTTATTTTCTTAAGAGTGATAGGACAGAACTAACATTTAGATTGAACATTGTTATGGTGACTGTAAAGTGATATTTTCTGTTGTTTTGTTACTGTAAAGTGTTTTGCTTCAGTTTATATGAATATGTGATCTGTGTTGGCCGCTATCGTTGTGCTTCTGTTGTAATCCCTGGTTTTTTCTTACAGTTAAGTACACTTCAGGTTAATACTGTACATTACAGTAATATTTCCACTCAGTTTTTGTAACTGTGAAGTGAGATGTGTATTATACAGATGTACTGTACAAGTAATCTGTACTATTGAAAATAGCTACTGGCAGCAAGCATGTTGCTGAGGCTCCTGCATTGGGGGAGGTCAAAGCACCCATAAAACTGTCTCTGGAGGTGAAGCTTGACATTGTGAAGTGGTATGAAATGGGTGAAGGAGTGTGCTCTATTGCTAGAGCACTTAGCTTGGTCTAGTCAATGGTGTCTACCATCATTAAAAAGGCACCGGAAGTGAAGGCTGCGTTGCAGAACGTCAACCCAGTTTCCGCTTCCAGATTAGTAAAGCAGCATGAACCAATCATGGATAGGATGGAGAGGCTACTCCATGATTGGATTCAGGACCAGACTCGACTCTGCTTGCCTCTCTCCACAGTGATTATCATGGCAAAGGACAGCAACATCTGGGTGATGTTTGAGGCAGAGAGCGATGAGAGCAGTGCAGGTGATGCCCCTTTCAAGGCAAGTCCTGGGTGGTTTCAGCGATTCAAGAGGCACACCAATCTCCACAACCTTTGTCTGACTGGTGAGACAGCCAGTGCTGCTGATATGCTTCCTGGCATTCCTGAAGGCTCAGATGGAGGAAGGAGGATGCACCTGGTTTGGAAAAAGATGCCATCAAGGACTTTCCTGGCCAAGGAGAAGACTTCACCAAGTTTCAAGGTGAATTCTCGCAAGGATTGCCAGTTTGTCCTCTGATAGCACCATAGTTGCCGTTAAGAGGGGGGTGGGGGAGATGGTCGTGCCCAGTTTGATTTAATAGAAATAAGGTTGTGATCAAAGACCCTAAGGGGGCAGATATTGAGTATGAAGTGTGAGGGGTTAGAGGTAAAACAAAGATCAAGAATGTTAGTAAGTTGATCGTGAGAATACAAGTGTGTTTGGGGACTGGCTGGGAATGTATCCCATTGAACCTCATGTTATAATGCTCCCTATCTACAATATTTCACCAAGCGATGGGTTTTTCAGGAGATTAACCCCATTGTTTAACAAGGTTTACCTGTATTCTTTTCTTCATCTACTTATGATACAAATTTATTTTAAATTGCATTAAAGTATCTACAACAAAATCAAATACCCAGTCAACAGTTTAGCCCTTTTAAACCATAATCATCATCTTTGATACAGACAACTAAATTCTGTGCACTGCTCTTTGCGTAGTTTTAGTACATATTCAGGTACAGTGGCCTCAATACTTGTGTATCATACATTACAGGAGTTATATTCTGGACAATATTTTTATCTTTCACCTACTTATCATCTTAACCTTTGGCCTAGACTTGAAACAAATTTTAAGCACATTATCTCAGAAAGATGCAAAGTTTCATAACATTTCATTTAGATCATTCAAGTTTACATACTTACATAAGGTGGAGGAGGATAAGGATGATGAGCAGGCTCACGAAGGAGTGGTGGGTAGTTGTAGTGAGGTGGGCCAGGCACTGGCTGATGGGGTCCATAGTCCCCCATATAACCTGGACCCCAAGCACCAATGGCTACTACTTGCTGGAAGCCCCCCTCTCCTACAAAATCATCATATTATTAGTTCTTACATATTAAATTAACAATGTAAGGAACTATACCCTCCAGAGCAAAAATAAGCACATGCACATCTTTGAGGGAGTAAGATGTTTACCAATTATATATATATATACAGTATATATATATATATATATATATATATATATATATATATATATATATATATATATATATATATATATATATATATATATATATATATATATATATATATATATATATATATATATATATATATATATATATATATATATATATATATATATATATATATATATATATATATATATTGTGAATAAAAAAAGGTACTGTAAAAGATATAATTGTCATAGAGGCAAACATTTAAAAGGAATACCCGGTATACATTTCTTTGCACACGGGTTAGCTGGCTCAGTGAGGGAGGGGAGGGGGGGGCGCAGAGTGTAGGGGGGAGCATTGCTAGGGAAATAGTGGAGGTAGTGTCCCTGCTGGTCTTCGTTGCTCTGGTGTACCAGGGAGTACAGTATATGCAAATGGCAATTGTGTTAAACTTACATTTGGCTTTTATTTACCAGTTTGGCAATATAGTCTATATTTTTTATTGGTATTATTTCTATTTAGTCCTCACATTTACTGGTACTGTTTATATTATTCTAAGAACATATGGCTACAGCAGGAGAGGTGAGTCTTATCTGGCCTTGTGTCTTATACACTGTAAAATATGGCATCTCCCCCAGCCATACACTCCTACACTCACTGTGTAATTTTTTTTCCTAATTCCATATGAGCAAGGAGATACAACTGTTCAAAACAACAGCTGGCATATTACACTAACACAGATTGACTTATTTAAGTTCATAATACAGTAAATTAGTTGAAGTAAAATAGTTATAATTATGGTATACTTTCAATAAATTCAGTTGTGTTTTATTTAAATAGTTACTAGATGTAGGTAAGGTTCTAGATTCTAAAAGTTTTCAGAGTTGCAAAAGAAGATTCTTGAAGGTTTTGGAGTTCCAAAGTACCTGTATGTATATGTGGCATGGATGACCTTGTGCAGTGAGAGATAAAGTGGATGTGTACAGTATACCTTATATACTCGAGTACAGTTCCAGTTTTTATGATAACATTTTTATGCAAAAAATAAGAGGTCAAACCATATACGCAGAGTATTTTTGAGGGGTTAAAGTTCATGCATTTCTGTTGGTTATTTATGAATGATAGCTACCCAGTAGGCTAACATTACCAGTAAGCTCCTTCATCCTGGGCTTGCATACCATACCCCAAGATTCTTTGTTTATGTTGCTGCATGAAGCACAGAACATCATTCAATATATATGCCACTTTAAATCTACAAATGCCTGATACAAATGAAGATTTACAGATACTTTTCCTTTCATTTGTGGCATTGTTGCTTACTCATCACTCGTGGAGCTGTGAGGTGTTACAGTTATTATTCAGGCGGGGAGAAGGAAGCACGGGTGCATGGCTCCCTCCCCCAAGAGGCGTAGCAAAGGTTATCATCATCCATGTTTGTTTACCTTTTAAACTCCCCCATCTGAATGGCACACCATTTTCGTGTCATTATCGTTGGCTATATTATGTCCGACACGGCTGTCAAAATGGGCTTAAGACCTTGTGGTAGAAAGATTTATGAAAAATGAATGAGGAAATACTAGTCAGCCAGCCAACCTCCAGAATTATGCTGAAAATTTGGTTCGGTGGCATCTCTTTATTACAAGCAAACCAAATAGTCAGATATCATGGATGTAGTCAGTAGATCAACACCAGGGTGGATGTCAGTTAGAAAGTCCACAATGAATCGTAGAAATGACATCATCAAAATGGCCACCATCTTGACCCTCTAAGACTCAACAGGTCTTTGATTTGCAAACATTTGTGTCATTTAGTTTTGCCATGATATGGTTCAGCGAGGCCGCCATTTTGTTTCGTCATTTTTAATACGAATATGGCAACAGACAAACTGACATCCACCCATGTGACATTGCCCTATACAGTATATGTAGAATGTCTAGCTAGTTATTTTACTTGTAACAAAGAGACGCCATTGAATGAAACAAGAGCCCGTGTTGGCTGGCCGACTATACAGTATGAGGTGCTCCAGTGTGTACTCTTTGTATCCTCAGGTCCTACCTAAAGAAAACTGAAGCTTGCCTCAGGGTTTTATGGACCCAGAATGTATGTCAGACTTAAACCTAATTTTTATCCTGGTGAATGCCAACTAGAGGACTGTACTGACCTGGAACAGGAGTCTGTTTGTTATCATCCACACCAGGTGAGGGCATTATAGGAACTGAGTAAGTCCACTGTTGATTGTAGTTATATCCATAACCTCCATACATTACTGGCACTTGGTAAACCTACAACACAATATCTCTTTCAATTCATAATATTTACCCAGGCAAGTGTGGAAAATAGCCATAAAATGCTGCTATGATAATGATATGACACCCACATAATGTAAATAGCAATTTATAATGTACTTTGTGGCAGTTAATTATCATCATATTCCCACTATCATGATGATGATGATCATCATCTTAATCCCAGTATCATCACATTCACATCCCCTTTATCTTTCATCATCATCATCATTCATCAATAATAATCACATTAGAGTACAGGTGCTCCTCTACTTAAGAACGTTCAACTTACAAACTTTCAGATACAAACACTATCACTGAGGACGGTTAACTACCAGAAGTGTTCAATGTGGATGAGACTGGATTATTTTGAAGAAAATTCCAGATAGAACAAACATTACCTAAGAGGAGAAGAATGAGCCAGGTTTTAAGGCTGTATTAAAGGGTATAGCTGCACTAAATATCCATGATCTTTTCATTTTTTACAATACATTTGGTATCTACAAGAGAAAAGTTGGACTTACAAACAAGCCTCAGGAACATAACTCGTTCGTAAGTAGAGGAACACCTGTATAATACAGTACAGATGACCCTTGCTATTCGTGGGGGTTAGGTTCCATGGACCCCTACAAATGGTCAAAATCTGTGAATAGTATTAGGAGTCATTGTATTGTATGTTTGAGATACTCGAGTCACCCATTAACACTACAGTACGTTTTTTTTTAAATACACATACATTGGTGAAAAGCATTTATAAAACAATGAAATCATACAATGTACTGTACTGTACTATAGGTAGGGTATCCCTTATCCGAAATTCCCAAGTCCAAAATGCTCTGAAATCCGAAAGTCTATTTCATTACAGTGGTCCCTCGGTTAACGTACACAATTCGTTCCAGAGGGTTGTTCGTTAAACGAAACCATTGTTTCAATGGGATATTGGGTAATTGGTTCCAGCTCACAGAAAAGTATATACAAAGTAAAGCCAAAAATGCATAAAGTCAGAAACACTCCTAAAATTCCCCTAAATCGCCCTTAAATCACTACAGTGGGGTATGCTATAACAAATGGATCCTACTACGAATATTCCTATAACGAACGGTTTTACCTATAAAATTGAGAATGCTATAACGAACGAAACTCCTACAACGAACATTATTTAATTTTTTTTTTTTTTTACTAATTTATTGTTTTTTTATTACAAATATTAATGATATTCTTTATTTCAGGGGTTTAGATGCATATGTATGCACTTTTTTACAATTTTTACAATTTTATATTATATTTTTCAGTGTTAAGTGGTTGTATTTGGGGGCCTGGAACGGATTAATCCTATAACGAACAAATGCTATAACGAACAAGGTTCTAGAACCAATTAGATTCGTTATAGCATACCCCACTGTATATATATCGTACATATACACTAGAACTCTTAAATCACTACTGTAATGTGATACAGGTGATTCATTTTCTCTCTTGTGCAAAATATATGACGTTTATATTCAAATTATTACCTGTCTTGCAAGGATTTCCAGCAATGCAAATTATATTATTCTAACTTTAGTCTGAGGTATTATTTATTTTTAAACCTGTAAACCTAATCTTTTTACCCAAACGTTTCTCAGGAAGGTGAGGGGGTTGACAGTGACATGTTTGACAGTTGGCACCTATGGTGTAAAGTATTTATTTAATTGTTAAATTATGTCCTTTAATTTGAGTTTTTGTTTTTTGCTTATAAAATTTAATAGAAGTGACTGGGGTGAATTTAATTTGCATTGCTGGAATTCTTATAAGACAGTGATTAATTTGAATGTAAACATAGAAGAGATCACTGAATTGGCTGAGTACCTCCTCAGCTTATCAGCTGATGTTCAAAACAAAATGTGATTTTCGTAAGGATTTCTTTAATCAATTTTTTTTCGTTAACCGAATTGAAGATTCTTATGGAAGGTAATTTGTTAACCGAAATTTCGTTAACCGAGGGACCACTGTATATTTATGGTAGTTAATGCACTGAATATGGCATATATCATAATTTTTACTAGGGCAAGTATGTGTACGTGAAATGAATAAAGGTAAGACACAGGCTGCTTAGAGCCTCAGAGTCAGGCGTCATAGCGATGCCAAACAGATGGTAATGACTGCTTACCTTTCTGGGTCTTTAGTGTACATCTTATCATATATTTTATACCCAAAATGATTAAATTATATTTCATAAAACTACCTGCAGAATATACAGTATGTATCCATCTGCTGTAAATGATATATAATTTAATTTTTTGCACAGACTTGGGCCCCATCCATGCTGGGTGAGCTATCGCATTATACAGGTTATATATACAGGATATAGGTTATTCCAAAATTCAAAAATATCCCAAATCTAAGACCTTTAAGGCCCCAAGCATTTTGGATAAAGGATACCTAACCTATAGTACAGTAAATATAAAACAATAATAATAAAAAATAAAAAAAGTGGATAGGGAATTGTGTGTGACTGAGTATGGTGGGTGCCAGGTAATGAAATATTATTGTAAAATAATAAAATTTTCGTTAAAAAAAGAAAAAACCTCGCTCAACCATCGACGAGTTATTGAGTTCGTTTACATTAGGGAACAGCTGACCAGTTAACAATCCCTGGTGTCTGCCTGTCTCTATGTTATTTATTTATGTATTTATTTACAGTATTTATTGGCATAATAATGTTACACAGAGGCTGATTAAGAGAAGGTGAAAGAACTGTTTATGTAATATAGAACTACTTTTTTCTATCTATTATTATTTTAATTTTTTGATGGGGGATGAACCGTGAATGGTAAGGGTTTACTGTAGTATAGTATAAACCTAATGCTACAGATAGTATTAGGGTATTGAATCATCTAGTGGAATACAATAAGGGGGAGGGGTTAATCATCAGCTGGTGAAATAAACTTGGGGGGGCTAATCTTCATGTGGTGAAATAAGCTTCGGGGGGCTAATCTTCAAGTGATCCCATGTATCTCCTGTAACATGTGTTCTTAATCCTAAATAAAAAAGTGTGGATAGGACTTAGAAACAGACATTACCATGTATGGAGGCATTCCTTGATTCATCTTCATGGCTTCAGAATCATTTCCTGAAAAAAAATAAAAAAATATATATAAAATCAATATATATATATATATATATTTATATATATATATATATATATATATATATATATATATATATATATATATATATATATATATATATATATATATATATATATATATATATATATATATATATATATATATATATATATATATATATATATATATATATTATATATATATATGCAAGTAAATCACTGTGGGTGCACGTGATCCAGGTATATGCTGATAACCACAAGGAAAGAAGAAAACACGAAGTTCCCAAGCGCTTTCGTGTAATTCACATCTTCAGGGGTGAGTACAGACTAAGAAGTACAAAACAAGGTGTATATATACAGAGGAGGGTGAGATCAAGTCCACAATGGTCAGGTATTAGGTAATGACCCTACTAATCTTCAAAAAGCACCCCAGCAGTCAGTAGTCAGCTCAGAGGGTAAGCTGACCCAACCTTCTCACCTGGTTACCTGGTACATAATCAGGGGTACACCCAGAAATTGGGTTGGGGGAGTGGGTCCAAATATTTGAGCTAGGTGAGGAGCCAACATGGTAAACTACAGAGCACTACCGATAAAGAAACAAGTCTTACTAGAAGGGTATCAGGGGCATATTTAATCTGCAGAAACATAAAATATACATTAATTTATTATGACAAATACATTCATACTGTATAACACATTTTTATTATTTTGCATCCCAATGGTTATAATATATAGATAAAAGACAAAAATCCTTGGAAAATATTTTATTTGCACAAACATAAAACATCTTTACCTTTCGGCAAGTATTTTTGTAAATTTCATCTTCCTAGGATTTCATGTGTAAATTACTCGGTTTATGTCCACTGGCATATCTCAGTGCATGTGCAGTAGTGTCAGGCCTGTCAAGTCTCTCATTCCCCATTGTTGATCTGAATGGTGTTTTTATTCTTTTCAGTCCACTGAAAGAGCTTTCAGCAGAGCATGTTGTTACTGGCAGGGTGCAAAGAACAATGAGCAGAGCCCTCATGTTGGGGAACATGGAACCTGGTGTCTGGGAGAGATTGGTGGTCAGAGTAGTTGGAAGGCTGATGGGGCCCTGTTCTTTGGCCTTTTTTCCCACCTGACATGCCAGGTGTGTACCTCACTCTTGATATCACCAGGAGATGGCAGGTCCTCCCAGTAGAGGTCAACCAGCTCTTGTATTCTTCTGCTGCCCTCTGTTGGTGTCAGGGTTACCAAGATGGAGGGATGACACCGAGTCCCTGGAAGGCCTTCCGGTGCAGGGGGGTGAACCTCATCTCCAGCTCTGCTAGGAGATGGTTTAGAAGTGGAATGGCAACCTTTCTCCTGTAGTAGTCAGCTGGTCCATCAGTTGATGTGTTGTCTCGGTGTTGTTGGCATTTTCAGAGTCTGGGGATGGAAGGTGTGATACCTACAGCCTCACACAGTTGTTCTGCCTGACGAAACCATTCAGTGTATTGATCATCCATGTTGTTTAGGACATCTTGTTGTGCTGCTTTCACACGGTTAACTTCTCTGCTGGTCTCAACTATGTCCTTAGCCTGTGCTTGAAGGCCAGTGGTCACACCTTTCAGGTAGTCTAGTGCATTGTTGGTTATCACCAGGGGCACGTTGAAGTCTGTGCTGGTGAGCAGCAGGACCTGGGCATCAGTCAGTGAGTCTATAGACCAACTGCCAGGACCACCCTCTACAATGTCCTCCATGCAGGCCACCAATGAGGGCTGTAACTCCACAAAGGTTTCTAGGGTATCTAGGCATTGCACCCAATGTTTGTGTATGGCACAGATTTTTCAGCTTGTGTTTCCTTGATTCAGGTTGGGTCTCCAGGATAGCTGCCTCCAAGGCATATGCACATTTGGGATGCCCTTCCATGAAAGTTGAGATCCTGTCCACGGTAGCCATCATGTTCCTGATACTGGTGATCTGGATGGACGTAACAACAGTCAGGTTGAGGGAATGTGATGAGCAGTGCTGGTAGAGGGCCAAGAGGATGGTCTCCTTTATGATAGCTGCTGCCCCCTTGGAGCTGCCAGCCATGTTGCCAGCTCCATCATAAGCTTGACCTCAAAGGTTGTTGATGTCAAGTCCTTACCCTATGATGCTGGTTGTCACCTTGTTTGCTATAATTCTGCCAGTTACGCCATTGTCACCCTCCAAAAAGTCCACCAGGTCCTCTCTGATGTGGTCATCAGGATCTCCATACCTCAACACCATGCTGAGCTGCTCTTTGCAGGCAGTCAGTGACCTCATCAGCTATGATAGAGAAAATCTTGTTTTTCTTCACCTTCTGAAAGATATGACATATTTGTTCTCCACAAATGTGAATCAAATGGTTCTGGATATTCCAAGATGTGTACAGAACATTCTTGGCAGCTGTACCTAGGTGCATATCCAGAACCTTGTCTCCAGCCTCCACACAGAAGTCAAGGAGGGCCAGAAAGTTGCCAAGATTGCCAGTCCCGTCACTGGTATTGTCTCTGTGACTGTGACCTCACAGAGATATTTTCTGACGACCACAGAGGATAATAGTCTTGGTGATGGAACCAGCTTCAATCTGTTTTCATGCACCCTACTAACCAGGGCATGATTCATCTGGCTCTGAATGTCCACCTGTTTACCCTTCATCACTTCTAGGAAGTTCGAGGCCTTGGTAGTTGCCAGTTTGTGACTCTTGGTTGTCATGGTGGGATAACTTGTTCTTGGACACGGTGAAGCACGTCTGTGCTCAGCTGATGAGGTCCCCCTTGATACCTTGGCCAAACAGGAGGCAGTTGATACAGAAGCCAGCATTTTTCTGTGGACTGTAAGCCAGCCAAGTGTACTGTCGAAGCCAGGCATGCTGGAACTTGAGCTTCTTGCTAAATTCTTCTCTTAGTGGGAAGTTGTAGTCCACATCTGGCTTAAAACAGTATGACCCAGGGGGTTTTCCAGGCAACCAGAAAACCCCCCTGGGTGCACCCCTGTATGTAAAATCACATTTCATAAATATACATTAGTTTTTGGCCATAAAAGAAATAATCAATTTGGTGAGGCAACATGACTACCTTGAACATTTGGGTCCCATCCCTCAGGTCTGGCAGGCATTGTAGTGGTAGGCAATGGGGGGGTGAAGTCTGTGGGGGTGCCACTGCCATCAGTTGGAGGAGGCACTGGACTGTAAACCTGTGAAAACAAGGTTGTCATAACTATCTCTCTCTCTGTTAAATTTTTATATAACTAAAGAAAACAGTAAAGGAAACTCATATAACAAATAATTACAATATACTAAGATATATAAAGAAGTATAGATATAAAATAAATATAAAATACAGTATAAAAGAAACATTAGGGCAACTAATACAATAAAAACCACAATAAAGGAAATCATCACTAATAACAAAACCATTACAACCATTACAAAAATTCAACCAGAATAAAATAATGAAAACAACTACAATGTAAAAGGTATAAAGATAAAAAAGTATATTAATAAAGGTGAAAAGTATTCAACGTTTTTATTAAAAAGGAAAAGAAAAAACATGCGTGAAGACAGACCGTGAAGACAGACCGCGAAGACAGACCCTTACACGAGTAGGTGAAGTACGTCAACACAAATGTCTACACCGTTTTCAAGTAAACAAAGTTACTACTCAACGTCAAGAGTCGGTAAAAATCAAAGCAAAAAATTACCACTACCACCACCCATTTTATATTCATGGTTATATAGTTCTGTGAACATGTAGCAGAGCAATGTGTCGAAACCTTAATTGGCAGCCAAGGATTACCCATTACCTCCCCACAAAGGGACAAAAATGAAATGAACCTAAAACTTCCACTGATGATGGCCACCATCCCTTCAGCTAACATCCACTGATGATGGCCACCATCCCTTCAGCTAACATCCACTGATGATGGCCACCATCCCTTCAGCTAACATCCACTGATGATGGCCACCATCCCTTCAGCTAACATCCACTGATGATGGCCACCATCCCTTCAGCTAACATCCACTGATGATGGCCACCATCCCTTCAGCTAACATCCACTGATGATGGCCACCATCCCTTCAGCTAACATCCACTGATGATGGCCACCATCCTTCAGCTAACTCAGCCACTAACATCCACTGATGATGGCCACCATCCCTTCAGCTAACATCCACTGATGATGGCCACCATCCCTTCAGCTAACATCCACTGATGATGGCCACCATCCCTTCAGCTAACATCCACTGATGATGGCCACCATCCCTTCAGCTAACATCCACTGATGATGGCCACCATCCCTTCAGCTAACATCCACTGATGATGGCCACCATCCTTCAGCTAACATCCACTGATGATGGCCACCATCCCTTCAGCTTCTTCCACTGATGATGGCCACCATCCCTTCAGCTAACATCCACTGATGGGCCACCATCCCTTCAGCTAACATCCATGATGGCCACCATCCCTTCAGTTAACATCCACTGATGATGGCCATCCCTTCAGCTAACATCCACTGATGATGGCCACCATCCCTTCAGCTAACTTCCACTGATGATGGCCCATCCAGCTAACATCCACTGATGATGGCCACCATCCCTTCAGCTAACATCCACTGATGATGGCCACCATCCTTCAGCTAACATCCACTGATGATGGCCATCCCTTCAGCTAACATCCACTGATGATGGCCACCATCCTTCAGCTAACATCCACTGATGATGGCCACCATCCCTTCAGCTTCTTCCACTGATGATGGCCACCATCCCTTCAGCTTCTACTGATGATGGCCACCATCCCTTCAGCTAACATCCACTGATGATGGCCACCATCCCTTCAGCTAACTTCCACTGATGATGGCCACCATCAGCTAACATCCACTGATGATGGCCACCATCCTTCAGCTTCTCCACTGATGATGGCCACCACCCTTCAGCTAACTTTGACTGATGATGGCCACCATCACTGATGATGGCCACCATCCCAGCTAACTTTCACTGATGATGGCCACCATCCCTTCAGCCACTGATGACCATCCCTACAGCTAACATCCACTGATAATGGCCACCATCCTTCAGCTAACATCCACTGATGATGGCCACCATCCTTCAGCTAACATCCACTGATGATGGCCACCATCCCTTCAGCTAACATCCACTGATGATGGCCACCATCCTTCAGCTAACTTTCACTGATGATGGCCACCATCCTTCAGCTAACTTTCACTGATGATGGCCACCATCCCTAGCTAATTTCACTGATGGTGACCCACCATCCCGCACCATCCCTACACTGATGATGGCCACCATCCCTACAGCTAACTTTCACTGATGATGGCCACCATCCCTTCAGCTAACTTTCACTGATGATGGCCACCATCCCTACAGCTAACTTTCACTGATGATGGCCACCATCCCTCTAATCTTTCACTGATGATGGCCACCATCCCTACAGCTACTTTCACTGATGATGGCCACCATCCCTTCAGCTAACTTTCACTGATGATGGCCACCATCCCTACAGCTAACTTTCACTGATGATGGCCACCATCCTTCAGCTTTCACTGATGATGGTCACCATCCCTACAGCTAACTTCTCACTGATGATGGCCACCATCCCCTACAGCTAACTTTCACTGATGATGGCCACCATCCCTTCAGCTAACTTTCACTGATGATGGCCACCATCCCTAACTTTCACTGATGATGGCCACCATCCCTTCAGCTAACTTTCACTGATGATGGCCACCATCCCTACAGCTAACTTTCACCAAAAGTGATTACCATTTAAGGGTAAATAACTAACAAGGAAATAACATTGGTGTAACAAAGTATTAAAATTTTATCATACCTATTCAATAAATCTGACCTGAACAAAAATATGGAATCATAAAAAAAATTCAAGAATATTACACAAGAATTCTGGTAATGATGAAAAAAAAACTATTACAGTTGTAGGCTGAAGCAGAAAATGGCTTAAGAAAAATTTTTTGGGTGTAAAGTTTGCTTGATGAAATTGAAGTGTTTTAGAGTGAAATATGCTACATAAATGAATAAACATATTATGGAATTGTGTGCAACAAGGATAGTAATGTAAGGTAGACACTACTGTTAACAACAAGGATAGTATTGTAAGGTAGACACACATGTTAATAATGTTCAAAGATGATAATAAAAAGAAGAGATTAAACCAGACATTCCTTGAGAACTGTGATGAGTGTGAAGATTTTACACCAATTTACAATGAACAAGAGAATGCAGGAAACACTATCTGTTCCAACATCTAAGAGTGAAAAAGTAATTACTGTATATATTTGTTAGGTACAAATAAAGAAAAATCATAGTACAAGTGGCAGGGCCAGCATCAGGGTATTCAACTCCTTTGACAACATGAACATTTGTGCCACCATGACCATACAGAGCTGTACCTCACACCCATTGTCCCCACAGTCCTATAACTCCAAAAGTAAGATTATAACACACTTTTCCTCAGCAAGATATTTAGTCATACAAAAAAGACATAAAAGATGCATAACTGTAAAAATCATGAGACAGGCTAGTCAGTATGATACTAGTGTATGTAAATAAATGCTACAGCTAGGTACGGTACGGTGTGACCCTCTGGGTGTGTGGAGACACCGTGCAGTCACATACCTAGAAGTCTTGTGAGGTGAGGCAATCTCAGATCAGGTCAGGTGGCAGTGGCCAAGACAGCTGACTTTCCCTTTAATCTTCTGTGTCCATTAGCACCTTGACCACCCTCCTCAATTAGCCTACGATCTTATCCCCCCTTCCCCATCGAATCCCCTCTTCTCCCCCAACCTTTCCTTCAGGGGCTTGGCCTTCCCATTAGATGTCAGTTGCTCTCTGCATATATCTGTACCTAAAATGAATTTCAAAGATGTTGTGATTCTAAAATGCTTTACATAATTCCTGATTGGACAGCCATAATTTGGAGAGTCAGTTATTAATTAATCTCTATAGAAAGGTTTGCAAATAAACACGTGTAATGCTGTGTCTTTTATTTTTATCTTTAGTTAACTAGTTTTTATAATTTACTTTGGATTTATTTTAATATTTGAGACAAAAATTTTGTTGCTACTTTTTACTTTCAGTACTTGAGCACTTTATGAACGAGATACTTTTTATTTCTATATGAGTACATTGAACTTTGGATAATTTTACTTCTACTCGAGTAACATTTTGCCAATGTAACGATATTTTGAATTAACAAAATCTGGTACTTTTTACAACTCCACATAAGTGTTAGGAAGAGCAAATCTGTCCTGAAAGTTCACCATTGTAAGCACAATACAGTAGCACTTAACGTCGTGGTTAAGTTCTTGAAAACACGTTAACGGAATCAATTTTTCCCAAAAGAAATAGATAAAATACGCTAGTTATGTTCCCCAGCCTCCCTTTGCCCCATAAAATACATAACATATACATAAATTCAATGGAATTTTAATAGAAAATACCCCCTGTATATATCATAATTCCAAAAAGATAAATAAACTAAATCACTTTGTATTGTACTCACTGATGGGCAGAGATGGAGTGAGTGTGTGGTGGGTATAAAACCTCCATTTTCGTAGCAAGGCTAGTGGTCTTGCGTTGCTTCCTCACAACACTAGCATCACTAACGCTTGATGGGTGCTCGGAAGCCATTTCAAACGGTTACAGTACAGTATTTACAGCAAAAACACTGAAGCACACACGTACACTATGGAAGCCTAACAAAGACTGGGGACGCTTGGGGACAATGTGAAACTCTGCGAGAGAGCGTAGTGCGCCAAGATGAGAGAGGGTGATGCCCCATACAAGTAGTCCGTGACGACGTTATGACAAGTCGGTCGGGACGTTGTCGGAATCATGGGTTTCTGAAGAGTAGTGACGTTATAACGAAACAGCGTTGTCGGGGGCAACGTTAAACGAGGACTTATTGTACATCAATAAAAAGACTCTATATAGGCTACTGTGTACTGTACTCAAGTTGATATATGAGAACATGTGTGGACTACAGTATTTGTACCTGGTGCTTTTGCCAATTCCCCTCATTTTTTACACTTACCCCAATTATCTACCTTCCTCTTTTTTCTTCCTTTAGATTTCTGTATTCCATGAACCACCCAAACCAATACAGAGGGGATTAAGAATAACTAAAATTTCCTAGAAACTTTTCAAACATGTAGGTTCATTTAATTATCCATTTTCTTTTGTTATGATATATTTTCCATCCTTCTCCTTATGAAACACCTATTCTACTCTACAGAAAAGAATAGAGTATGGTCAGTAGACAGATAGGAAGATAGACCGGTCATACTTTAGGATATAAGTAAAGAGTTTCACTAAAGTTAGTACTCAATCAACTCTTCTAATTCAACTTATTACAACCAGAAAGAGCTGCTTATGAAAGAATATGATGTGGCCAACTTACACTCCCCAAGAGTTATGATTGGAGGCATTTACATAAAACATGCTCACCTGAACAAAGCCAGGGCTGGAGTAAGGTGGAGGGTAGCTCAACATGTACATGGCAGCATTTTGTACAGTAGAGGAGTCTGCCATCTGATAGTACAGGGCAAGGAAGGAGTCATATTTTAGGTAATAACGGAGCTTATGTGACCTCTGGATAAGAAGAGGTGATGTTGTAGACCAGTGGAACTAATTACTAATTCCAAATTAACAAAAGATGAAAAATATAATGAACTAATGTGAAAATTAAATAAAAATATAAGCAGGATTGTTTGTTTGACATACATGTATACTGTAGTAAAGGAAGTTCAATTCTCCCCAGACATACATTCATTTTGTTGTATTCATCACAAGTATCATTACTGTACGTATACCAGAAAATATATGACACACATACCTGGAAATGTTAAGGACAGTACACCTAAATAAATAAATATTGCAGTAAACAGTAACAGAGACAAAACATAAGACAGGAGTATTAAGGAGGCATAATAACAGTAATACAGTACACCATAAAGGAAGTACCTGTACAGTAGTCTGGGAGACAGGGCATCATAGTGTTGATGAAACTTTGTGTCATAAAGGGAATACTGTACTCAAGCAGAAGGAGCACCAAGAAGGGAGTAACATACAAACCATACTGGTAATAATGTGAAAAGTCAGGGAGACAGAACTTCATGCAGGGAGTGATGGAGTTTATGTCTGGATAAGTCTCCTACATAACAATTTGACACACAGCACACTGATAAACATTTAACAGTTTGTCTGAATCTGAGGTCAAAGAAAGTAGAGAACGATAATTCATCAAGTACTGTACCGGAAAAACAGCAAGGTAAAGGTGCTCCAATTAAGTGTTTACCTGTGATGCTGTAATACTTGCAGGCGGTGATATGTATGTGATGCTGGGGTCTGGCAGGTAGAGGGCAGCAGGAGGCACTTCACCATTAGTTGTTTGAAGGGAGGGAGACTGATTAAGAGGTTCTACTTGAAGGGTTATCTTTGTTTTTTCTGGATTATTTTGGTTTACTTCCTGTGATTGTCCCACCTGATCTTCTATATTAACAGGTGCATTATCAATGGTAGTGTCTTCTGCCTGTCAAGCCAACAATTAAAATCTTCTACAGTATGGTAACATTATCAAATGGTTAGTGATGCTATGATAGCTAAAAACTTCCATCCCAGTAGTGATTTAAGAGTTCTAGTGTATATGTAAGTATATATATATACTTGTACTGTATAGTGATTTAAGGGCAATTTAGGGGAATTTTAGGAGTGTTTCTGACTTTATGCATTTTTGGCTTTACTTTGTATATACTTTTCTGTGAGCTGGAACCAATTACCCAATATCCCATTGAAACAATGGTTTCGGTTAACGAACAACCCTCTGGAACGAATTGAGTTCGTTGACCGAGGGACCACTGTATATATAAAATAAACACACACACACACCAAAGGGTCAAGACGTGTCTGGCCAGAACTGCTATGTAGGCACACTCCCCAACTCCCGCCCCTCAACCCCTCCTCCCCACCGGAATATCACCAAGTTCTCACCAGAAGTTACTATTTCATTTCATTAAGGAATGGAACCAGTGTTGAACAGTGCTTAACCCCTACACCCCGGTTGATGCTCCAGAACGATCATTTAGGGAGCCCCGGTTGACGTTCCGGAACACGCACCTTTTTGCGGCATTGTTTGAATGCCCAGCGTGGGTTATCAGGTTCTAGCATGACTATTTGCAAGTCCCGCCACATGCTCAGCCACAGGGAAGCTTCTGGAATGTAAGTACCTATTTTTGTTTGTTTCATTTTCATTGTTTGTCCATTTTATCATGTTGTATCAAAGTAATATTGCTAAAAGTAGTATAGTTATATTGTATTGTAGTATTACTGGAAACTAATGCTATGATTATGTTATAAATAAATTTATTTGTGGAATTATTATTCTAATAATTATTTATATGCATTACTTGCTCTCCCAAACACAATGACAGCCTGGCGACAGACTGTGTGTGTCGCCAGGCACTTTCTATGAAAAATAATGCAAATAAAATAAATTCTAAATGAATTATTTATAGGAAATAAGTATTATGATCAGTAAATATATGCATTACTGGCCATCCCGGACACAAAAACAAGCAGAAAATGGCCGCAAAGTGCGTACATGACCACGAGCGCCAACTGTCAAAACAACACTGTCCCCTTATCTCCCTCACCACTGCTGCCCCAGGGAAGTTTCTAGAGGGTCAATATATAGTTTTTTCTTACTTCTTTTTAATTGTTTTATCATTTAAAAAGGTTAACAATTATTTTTGGAACAATTTATTTTTCTCTATTTACCCCGCGTGGGGGATACGGCCAGCAGCACCCTAGCCCGGGGCGAAAGGGTTAAGCCAATGAAATCAACTCGGCAGTAACAGCTGAGAGTCGTACCCAAGTTAACCTTAACACAGTAAGGTCCCAGGTACCCAGTGATAACTGGCCATGAGACCCAACAACAAGCAGGGATGTGTTAATCCATCCACGATAGGGAGGTCTGGGACCACACCTGACTGTACACCACTTGAGTGAGTGAGGTCCTGTGACACCAGGCCATGTGGTGACCCCATGACTTTACGACACCACGTAGTGAATGAGTTGCTACAGCATCATATGAAGTCCCTCATATCACCATCTATGAGGGAACTGTTGCACTGTGTGAGGTCCCTCACAACACCATCTGTGAGGGAATTACTACACCATGTCAGGCCCTCATAACACCATCTGTGAGGGAATTACTGCACTACTGTTTGCTGTTCAACACCTCAGTGCATGTAATCTACGTGACCTCCACTTTAAACATTAATCTGTATATTCACTTTATGTTCCTTTTCCTTTCTCTAACAAAGCTTTGTCCCCCCCCAATCTTTGTATGTAATAAGTCATTTAGGTCCACTGTATATTTTCAGCCTTTGCACTGCGAACCTTTCAATAAACCGTTAATACACACACACACACACACACACACACACACACACACACACACACACACACAATATGTGGACTGGAAAATCTGATGCCCACCACTCAAGCAGTAATAATAAGCAAGTCCACTAGTATTGTAAACTGTTTTACCTCTCTATTGTTATCAGTAAAATGGAGAATAAAGAGCTTTGGAGCATAAGTAAAACAACAACAACAACAACAAATATAGAAAAAATACTTGCATGCTGCATTGCTTGATTACAAAAACAGTGCTGTAAAAATTATTTATTATTGATAAATTTTTATTTGATTTTAAGTAAAAAGTAGTCATCCAGAAAACTAATTATTGTAGTTTCAAGTAGATTGCTGGAAAATCTACTGTACTTAGTTACTGTAATTAATTACAAACACTTCGATACTTGCCCAACACTGGCCATGGATACAGTTTGGATAATTATCAACTCATACAAATCAAGTCTTACCTGAGGTGCTGAGGTATTGTGTTCTATGTGGGAATTGTTTTCTTCCAATGGTGTCGTCTCTTGCATTTCTTCCCGTTTCACAGAGTTCACGACCTCCAACTGAAACATCACACACAGGCATCGCTGATAATAAAGTTGTACTGTAAGCCAAGGGCAACAAATACTTGTCTATAAACAGGGTTACTTAGTGTCATTATGAACACTTGTGCTTCACTTAGGGTTAATAGGAGTACTTAAAAATCACATGACAACATAACAAGTACTTCTGAGATATTTGGCATAACTGTGAGCACTTGAGATATACAGTACAATACCAGCCATTAAACAAAATGAATATCTCAAAACCTAAATGTTGATGACTAGTGTAACTACTAACCTTGTTATGCACTTAAAGACTTATGAGGTTGAAGTGCAGTCAGCAATAATGAAGCCAATAAAATTTGAATGTTCTCCACTGAATACATTTTCTTTACTCCTAACAACAACACTGTAGCAAAATATTTAACTCCAATATAAAATCTTTGACTCAATACACCGAAAAGCTAACCACATCTTGAGACTTTTATGCAGTAAAGTATGGTACCTGTTATGTGAGTCTGACCAATGTTCATTAGTCTAGGCTCATGGTACAATGTACACAAGACAGAACTAGGTCCATGGTACAGTGTACACAAGGCAGAACTAGGTCCATGGTACAGTGTACACAAGGCAGAACTAGGTCCATGGTACAGTGTACACAAGGCAGAACTAGGTCCATGGTACAGTGTACACAAGGCAGAACTAGGTCCATGGTACAGTGTACACAAGGCAGAACTAGGTCCATGGTACACTTGGTGTCATATTATGGAATAAATTATGTTTGTGTTTACCTTTACTCTAAATGTTCTCTTGTTCTAATTGGGTTTTGTTTTGTTGTGTTCTGTTGCAGATGTAGATGGATTTATGAGTTGAATAAAGCCTTGATTACTGAAGGTGTTTGATCTCATACGACAATTTATCCAACTCATATTCTACTAGCAACATGGAACGCATGCTCTGCCCCGACAAGGTTGATGTTGATCTAAATTCCCCAGCTGCTGAGAAGGAATACAAGCATTGGCGTAAAACTTTTGAAAACTTTATTGGAGAGTGTGGAGACAGAGTGCCTAACAAACTACAATGTTTGTCTGCTACTGTGTATGAATACTTTGCTGATGCTACGGAGTTTGAAACAGCTATACAAGTGTTGGAAAAGGTGTATGTGAAAAAGAAAAATGAGATATTCGCCAGACACCAGCCTGCCACAAGACGTCAGCGCCCTTCCAAAATACTGGATGAATTTCTTCGCAACTTGCACACTCAGCAAAGATTGTACTCTAAAAGCTGTCACAGCCGAAGAATATCGTGAAGAGTTAGTACGGGATGCCTTCATCAACGGACTGTCTTCTGCAAATATACGTCAACGTCTATTGGAAAATTGGGCTCTCACACTTTCTCAAGCCTTTGATCAAGCTAGAGGCTTGGATATTGCACAGCATACTTCGGAAGCCTTCCAGCCACTAGGCTCTGTCATTGCAGCAGCTTCAGGATGTGTGGAGGAAACTGTCAAGTCACCCTACACTAATCAACAAGATATACGTCCAGTTGAGGACTCAACACTTGCTAGTATGACCACTAAGAAACGATGTTGGTTTTGTGGTGGCAATCTTCATTTACGGGCGAGATGTCCAGCTAAAGATAGTGATTGCTATTCATGTGGAAAAAGAGGACACTGGGCAAAAGTCTGTCAGACTAAGGGTAAGAAACAGGTCACGGCATCAATTTCATCTCCTACTCTTTGTGCCATCTCAGCTGCTGTTCCTCATTGCCTGAATTGCTCTGCTACAAACTTAAAGGTAAACGGAAGACGAATCTCCGGCCTTATTGATTCGGCAGGTTCTGAGAATTTCACTGACATGAGAGTGGCCCATCGGCTTAAGCTTCACATCAAACCGGTTTCCCAAAGTATAACCCTGGCAATGTCTTCTTCAACGGCTTCTGTGATAGGTGAATGTACGGTGGATCTCTAAACTTTTCAGTTGACAGATAGTTTACTATATTGTTCATAGGAACAGGATGGAAATGGTTAAATTACTATTTGTTACAGCTTCAAAGTGCAGGAGTAAAGTGAAGTGGGAAGGACAAAAAAGATGGTCATACCTGTTGGCCGGTGACTCGCACTTCCTGTTGGCCACCAGCACTCATGACCTGCTGTAATGCCTCTAGAGTCACCTCCCTCATCTGTTGGTGTGCCTCCTCATCACCCTGAAATACCTTATGTACAAACAAAACATATTTTGATCACTTAGTGAACAGATATATCCCCTCTACCACCTTAACATGTCATATATACAAATCTCTTAACTTAATGGGATATACAGAACAGCTGCAATACTATACTGTATATACAATACAGTACAGTATACTCCTACATGACTGAATTTTACATATCCAAAAACCACTGAAAGCTCTGAAAGATATTCAATAAAGTGCAGAATTTGAAGAAAAAACTAAACTAGCCATGGAAAGCAGATCACAATATGTACATGAGCCGACAAACAGTAAAGCACCCCCCACCCCAGCCTTAAAATTTGTATTCTACACAAATTCTTTTATATCAGTATCACATAATAAAAGATTACTTCATATAATTTTAACCTATTATGTATAATACGTCTAACTGTCTCCTGTAAAGATCCCCCAAGCTACTTTCAACCCCAAAATTTGAATCTTTCACCCCTTGAGTATGATGCCAACCTTGAGCACAAAGAATTAGCACATTAAGTATAATATCTATCCCCTTGAGTATGATGTTAATCTTGAGTAAAATGAATTACCCCATCAAGTAATATATTTGTCACTGTACTCAAGGGGCTTAGCTGGCATTATCTCTCACTGAAATAAAGATTACGTTGAAGAGGAACATATCATAAAACATCCTTAAAGTTAATGAACATAGATTACTTCTTTAACTCAACACCTAACTCTCACACAGCCTTGTACCTGTCCAAAACTATTGTAAGAAATAGATCAGTTGAACCATATCATTTAAGAATATTATTCTAAGACACACCTCGATGCATGCATCACCTAATCTCTCTATACCCATTATTGTATATCTAAAAGTGTATCTCAACACCTGTCTCCGTTATAAAGCATAAATATTTAGGACAAATAGTTGTATAATTTTTGTTTTTTTAATTAATATTTTGATAGGTAATAGTGGTGTAAATTTTGCATTGTGATGAGCGCGCCCAGGCCGAGTACAGATTATTATTTTTTTCCCACCGGGCGTAAGAGATAACTGTACATACTGTATTGAATCATAGCAAGAGGAAAGCTTGTTGAAGAGCTGGACAAACTGCAGTGATATTTCCGTTAGCCGGAACAATTGGTGCAGAGCACTTCCGGGAGTGAGAGTTTCCGGATAACGAAATAACTCTCAAATATGGAAAAAAATCCCTCATACCCGGAATTTTCAGGGTAACGGGAAAATATTCACAGAAGTTCCAGAATCATGCATTATTTCATCTCTCAAAGCCGGAAGAATATCTCCCATCCCTGTAATTTTCCGGGTACTGGAAAAATTTTCTCAGAATTTCAGGAAAATGCACCTGATTTTCATCTCCCAAACCTGGAAACAACTCCTCCATCCCCGGTATTTCTGGAATTTTCTGGGTACTGGAAAAATTTTCTCGGAATTTTCCAGAAATTGTGCCCCTCAGAAAATAGTTCCCAAAGCCATAATTTTTTTTTCGTAAAATTCCAGCTTTGGGAAAGAGTTTCCCAGAAAATTTCAATTCTGGCTATCGGAAAGTTCCGTGTTTGAGGGATTCTAGCTAATGGAGAGATTACTGTATCACTTACGCTAGAAGAGCTAATAACACTGGGAGAGGCAGCAGCAGGCACCCCACTAACACCATGTGGTGCATCTCCTTGCACTTTTTACATTTCCCTGCCCCTCCACCTACACGAAGCATGGTTTACAACTCTCACAACACTGTTATTAATAAATTAAATCACTTTGATGCACGAGAAATCGGCACAAGACATGGCAAATGTGGGTCAACGTTATATCCTGGGTCCTAAAAACACAAAAGGGAGACTGGTGTGGTGACCTTGGAGTGCAGTCTACGTACAGTAGTTGTCAGATCGCACTGGCGTTTCCAAATGTGCATCTTGCATGTCTTGTGTTCATACGCAAACATAAAATTAAATTTTTTATTTCATATGCAAATTTGTGTATGAAAACTCTTAAGTGATCATTTGGATTATACTCAAATTTGTGTATGAAAACCCCAGGAGTGTTCATGTACTTATGAGCTACACCAACTATCATAAACATGTATGCTATATTCTTCTGACTCTGCATCAACCACTGTGTTATTAAGATATATTTCCTTTACATCCAGCACCGAGAGCCATCCCAAGAACCTTTTATTCTAATGACGAACCCAATAGCAGGACAGTTTTCATATTACAATAGTATAGGATCTTCTGAATTGCCCCATAAAGCTCGGAATTGTGGTTCCATATAAAAAATAGCCTACAGTCTGTACTACTTAATACATAATAAAATTAATCTTGTGTTAAAAAAGTTTTCCTACCAAACAAACACCTAATGAAAGTCCCCCCATTACCTGAAGGTGTTTTTTAGCTTCCCACACTTCCTCTAAGCTAGTGGACTGTGGAGTTGGACGTGGCTTTATTTCTAGTGACTGGAAACAGACAAGTCGATAAAACCCTCATATGATCCCATCTTGCAGGGGAAGGTGATAACTTTGTGGAATCTGAATACTCCATAATAATATGAATCACAAGACAGTGTTCTCCCCACTACCGTCTCAAACCAAAGGTTTTATTCTTGCAATTGATTTTCCGATTGTAAAATAGAAAATATGTGCCTGTATTTATTTCATGATGGCAAATATCCAAATTTAGTCAACAAAATTTTGTATAGTTGTCAAAAAAAAAAAAAATCCATCTCAGACCTAAATCTCTCAAAACATAGATGTCTATTACTCAACTGGTGATACTTATTAATTTATATTTTGTATTTTTTCATCATGAAATTAAAAATGAAAGAAGGTTACTTTACAAAGGATGCTTGTATTTTTACCATAAATCACAGGAACAAAAATAATTATGTTTCATATTGAACTACGGTACTTTAAAAATGTGAATTACACCGTATTTTGATGAGTACAATGTAGATTCAAAGTCAACACAAACTATGTCATTTGTAGTGTTACCTGATAAGCTGGGGAGGCTTTACGGTGTGGGAAGATTAATGTTAAGTACAGTATAAAGGCATATCTTTTGTCTCTTTATATAACAAGACAATGCCACAGCTTAGACTAGTTAATACTTTTATTTTCTCACTTCTCTTTTTCACCGATCTTTTGCTTCCAATACTGTACATGTTTTCACATGACTAAACTGGTGCACATGAACATAGGCACCCCACCAAATTTCACCTGATGATTAAACACCCTAACGCTACCTGGGGGATAGGATTAGGGTGTTTAATCATCAGATGATAGAAGCTGGGGTGCCTAATCTTCATGTAATCCTTAAAATTTTTTGCTTAATTTATCTTATCAGGTGCTATAGGGAGTCTTTTAATGTAATATGTCCTGCATTTATGTAGGAGGCTACTACCGTAAATGTTTCTTTAAATAAAATACACTACCCAGTACCTTTAACCACTTGTGAACAAGCAGGCTCCCTTCTGGGCTGTATAGAATCACCTGGCATTAGGAAAATAAAATACGGAAAAAAATAGCACCCCCACAGTGAAGGGGTTAATAAATTTTTATTAGGTCTCTTTACTTTGGTAAAAAAAATTACCCCTCTTCCTTCCTCAATCTAATCTTTGTTATTATCCTTTATTCCTACTTTTATTTCTCATGGCTTCTCATCCATCTTTTAAGGCACACCCTTCCAATTCCAAATAAAAGTTAAGGTAATGGTGCTTCCTCCACCTCTCTCTTTTAACATCTGTGCATACAGTGATGCTACCAAGAAGGTTTGTCATTATAATTTCCTTTAATTTTTCTCTCACCCATGTTTACCACTGATATCTTTCTGTTGGACATATTTAAGTTTAAAAAGCATACAAGGTATTTTTTTTTTTTTTTGAGAACCGTAAATGATTACTACATTTTAGGACGTGCAATAAATAGTTACCTAAAAATCAGTAAGAATAAAGTCTGGTCAAATATCTGATCAGACTTTACGCTTATTGATTTTTAGGTTCCCTTTATTGCATGTCCTAAAGAATAGTAATCCTTCAGGGTTTTCAATAAAAAAATAATAAAAGACCCTTTATTTCCTGTCAATAAACTTTTAGGCTGTATATATACACTGTAACTATAGATTTAAATACCTGTAATTTCCACTATGTGATTTCCATTGAAATACACATTTCTTTATCTCTTTGTGTGGTGGGTATCTTTGTCATGCTGTGGTTTTATATTCTTCATGGCAAGTGGCCTCAACAGCCCTCATCCACACACTGATATCACCCTAGGAACTTCTCTGATTCATTAATGATTATACTCAAATATTCTCAGGCCCAGCCATGTTTGAGTTTTTATCATTAATAATAAGAAATTAGGCAGAGTACTTACGGTATACAGGTACTTCAATATGACCCTTTTGATTCAACAAGATCAACTTAACTGCTTTCTACCATAAATTATCTCTCAGTTCATAAATCAATAATTTCAAAAACATCATGGCCAAAATGCACCAGTTTTATTATACTTTAAAAACAACCCACAAGTTTTTCTTGCCTCGGTAGCCCGTGCACCGTGTTCTAGCTATAATACAGTATTTTTGAGGTTATTACGTTCCAAATGGGTCAATAATTAATTTATGGATATCCTGCTGAATATTTTTAGTTCTGACTCAGCCAGACATGAAGTAGGTACACTATACTGTTCTGATGCTGCACCTCTATTTACTTTAAAATGATATGCCAGTACTTTTGAAAATTCTATTTCTGCTGTATCAACTCATTTCTAAACTTTATTGCTGAAGTATGCAGTGTTTCAGTTAGTGCTGAAGGAAAATGACCCTTGACCATTCTATCACTCTATATTATTTCTTCCATAAAATTTAACCAATGAACTGCATACTGTATGTCAATCTTAACTTGTATACACATATCACCTCTCAGGGTAGGTTGATGAGAGATCTTCCGTGTCTTGTTCACATCTGTTCATTCTCATCGAGAGCAGTAAGTCCTTAGCAATTGGTTTTGTATTAAC